AATGGAAGAAGCCAGATGCAAGGGTACAAACACCGTGTATTTCACTGATAGGAGTTACCTAGAGCAGTCACACGGATAGAGATAGAGAGTAGAAAAGTGACTACGGGCTGGGGCTCAGGGAAATGGGGAGTTAGTATTTAATGGGTAGAGTTTGTTTGGGAAGATGAAAAATCCTAGCGATGGAGAGCGGTGATGGCTGCACAACATGGATGGTGCTTAACGTCACTTAGCTGCCCACTTAAAAATGGCAGAAGCAGGAAACTCCAGGCTATGTGCATCTTCTGCCATAAAAGAGAACCCTTTGATTATGAAACCGCAGAGAAGAGCTTGGCAATGAAGGTACACCTATTTGAAATCTGGATCTGCTGTTTTCCGGCTGACGGACTCTGGGACAATCACTCAACCTCTGGAGAGTTTTAGTTTCTTCTTAACATTAAGAAAAAGTAAAATGCTGAGTGTAGGGCCTATCATGCCACCAACTAACAAGTGATGGGTTATTTTAGCAGCTCTGGAAATTCTATGTTATCATAGTAAAACATAAATGACAAAAAGTAAAAAGCTTCAGACGAACATGAACACATACTGGGTGACAAGGACACTTGAAAAAAAGGGAGGGGAAAGTCTTGGCTTTTCAACAGTTCATGAGAAGCTGTCTTGAATACAGCGAATTTCACTTACTAAAAGTTCAGTATGAAGCATGTGATACAGATATCTAAAAAAGAGAATGCAGGGGCACCTGGGTGGCTCAGTCGGTTGAGTGTCCGACTTTGGCTCAGGTCATGATCTCACGGTTCGTGGGTTCGAGCCCCGCGTCGGGCTCTGTGCTGACGGCTCGGAGCCTGGAGCCTGCTTCGGATCCCGTGTCTCCCAATCTCTGCCCCTTCCTTGCTTGTGCTCTGTCTCTCAAAAATAAATAAATGCAAACTAGATAGACAGATAGAAAGCAAGCAAGCAATCGTAGGTCCCCACTGGTGGTCTAGTTCACCTGTTACGAAGCTTATTCTAAGAACACTGTTCCAGAGAGATGAATAAATCAGAGTGTTACCAGGACAGGTCTCCCAAGAATGAAGAGCGGTGGATTAAATATAGCAGATTAAATATAAATAAAGGCAAGGTATGGAAATTTAAGTTACTGAACAATGGAACGGGATTTCAAGTACTCAAGCACAGGTGAATATTCTCAAGTGACCGATTTTACAGGAGCGAGGACTACACCGCAAGGGCTAAGGGAGCGCTGAAAACAGTAAGATTCTAGGATTCTAAATTTGCATTTTTAAACTCGGAATTTTTGGAAAGGCAAGGCTACTACGTAAAGACCAATGCAGGCACGGGATTACAGGTGCCGGTTTACACACACGGAACGCTGTTCTCGGAAAATCTCTTTGGGTAACCAAAGCAGCGAGTTTGCAGCAAGAGCAGTAAAGGCAGTTCCCCAAGTGCATACAGCTGAAGCTGGACCACCACAGGGGTCAGGGGCCCCGTGTTTGTGCAGCCAAAAAAATCCAGGTTGAACTTTCAACTCCCCCCAAACTTAACTATTAATAGCCTACTTTTTTTTTTTTAAATCTTGAGAGAGCGAGAGAGACCACGCAAGTGGGAAGGTGCAGAGAGAGAGAGAGAGAGAGAGAGAGAGAGAGGGAGAGAGAGGGAGAGAGAGAATCCCAAGCAGGCTCCACACGGTCAGTGAACAGCCTGATGCGGGGCTCGTACTCCCAAACCGTGAGATCGTGACCGGAGCCGAAATCGAGAGTCAGGCGCTTAAGTGACTGAGCCACCTGGGCGCCCCCCTAATAGCCTACCGTTGGCCTGAAGCCTTACCGATGACATAAACAGGCGGTTAACACACATTTTGGATACGTGTTACATACCTGCGTTCTTACAATAAAGCTAAATAAAGTGTTCAGAAACTCCTAAGGGAAAACGTGTTCACCGTACTACGATACCGTGTCTAAGGAACAAAATCCGCTTAACAAGTAGGACCCACGCAATTCAAACCCATGTTTGTTCAAGGGTCTGCCCTTCCAATTCTCAAAGACGTTTTAGGGAAAAAAACACACTTAAAAACCCGCAAGCACAAATAAACCAACTTTAATAGATATTATTTTGTATTTATATAGCGCCTTCTTCAAGAACCTTAGATGCTTTACAGACATTATATCTAATTAATCCCCACAACAACCCTGTGAGGTAGGTATTACTCCCATTTTACAAGACAGGGAGACTGAAGCACAGAGAGGTTAAGTGACTTGCCCAAGGTCACACAGTTAAATTCACTGAGGAGCCAGGACCTGAGCGCCTTAGCCTCCCGGCTCCCAGCTTAATACCTCATGAGAGAATCTTTAATGAAAAGTATCCTTAAAGAAAGTATCAAGAGTAGTATGTTACGGAAGTGAGGTCTTTCTACTGCCACCACGGAAAAGAAAAGCCCGATACCGATCGGTAGAGGCAACAAGATCCATATATCACACATTTCCTTTTTTCCCTTTTCCTGAAGTCTCACGGCCCCCGTCTTGAGCAATCGTCTACAGGTGAAGTTTCTGAGACAGGAGCCGTACGACTTAGCAGTGAGACTGAATTTAGCATATTTACTTTCGGTTACGATGACCCGTGGAAATTTTTATTCCAATATACAAAATATGGGACCACCATCCCAACAAACATGTACATAGTTAGCAATCGGCCGCCATTTACAAGGTAAACCCACCCCTCGTTTCAGTCACAGTCGACCAACAACCTCACAATGCTTTCTCTCTGGGTCCCTTCTCTCGCTATACCTGCATTTGCCCCCCACCCCAACCCCAACCCTGTGCTTTTAAAGTCTGCTGCGTTTCGGGTGAGCTTCCAAACATGTTACGCAGACGCGGCTGTACTAAGAGTAAAAGGGAAATTGAGACCCATCACCCCACAGTCCCTCCCCTGACAAATCGTACTATTAAACACGGTGTAGACGTGAACAGTGTGCGACTACCAAGGAGCTCAACGAAAATGCTAGAACTTGCTTCGATAGGCAATTTCGCCTTGCCTTTTACTGTGGTTTTTACAATGCAAAACGGAGACACGAACACAGCGTAGCGTCCCAGTGCTGTACCTCTGTGCAAATGACCTCATCTATCTTTCTAATACGTGCTGTGGCCTAACTCAAGTAAACAACGGGACTCGGCCTCACTCTACTTCCTTCTCTGCGCTGAAAGCTACGGAAACACAGCCGTAAATTCCGAGACAATTTGGTTTAAGCCCTCAAAATAAAAAAAATGTATCCACCTCCCCCGTCCTGTGACCTTCCCCTTCCCCTTCCCCGCATTCTCAGTCGTGAGTCTCTGTGCAATGTTGTAACCAGGCGGGCTACGCAATCGCGATCGGTAGAAGCCCGTTCCGGCCGGCCATAAGGCTTTAGCGACTGTATCTGAAAAAGCAAGGTGTCAAAATACGTCGTAATTTTTCTCCCAGCGTATCTGTTTAAACAGCCCCATTAGCCAAGCGACCCTGTTAAAGATCAGTTCACGGAACGAATAGGTGAAGTCATTTCCTGAGCTAAAAGATACAGATAATAAAATGTTAATAAATAGCAGCAGACAAACATGTTTTTTCGTGGTTTTTTTTCATATTCAACAGTATTAGTAAAATAAGTTTAGAAAATTACAGCAATTAAAAAAAAAAA